AAAGGTTACTTTTAGCTAGGTATTTTCACAAACACGGACTTCTTAACATCTTTTTCCTCATTTTTGCCAGTTAATTTTAGCTGCTTCCATAAATCTCACCTAGGTTGCCCTTCCCCTTATTTTCAAAGTTAATTTTAGCTGTTTTCATGAACATGACATTGTTGATTCATTATCTTTATATTCGCAAGCTCATTTTAGCTTTATTCACAGAAAGCACCTTGGTTTTAGCCACCTTCCAATTATATATATATATATATATCCTTCACTGTTGCTTGTGATATAACAAGCACATAGTAGCATTGAGGAAAGCAGTAGGAAAATGAGACAATCAGTTCCCAGTTGTTCTATTGGTCTTTTATTTGCTGTGGCTTAACATTAAAAATGTGTGTGTCTGTGTGTGTGTGTGACAATTACTAAGCTATAGCTGGGGTAGTGCTAACACTCGCCAGTTTAGCCAAATGCTAAAACTGACTTAAATTGGCTAAAGAAAAAGGCTTGATTTGACTAATTTTAGTCAAATTATAGCCATTTGGATAACAAGTTGATAAAAAAGTGGTGGTTTGGCTAAGTGGAAAAAAATTGCTAGCGCTTCCCCAGTAAAGTATACATACATGAAGTTTTTAAAATTTTGCAATAAATCTTTTTAAAAAGAGGAACATTTGGGGATATAATTGCATATGGTCAGATTAAATTATATTTAGGGATGTTGCCTACCCCATGTTGAGACCCTGTACAGTGGTTTCCTTTTTCTTGGATACTTTACTTTGAAAATCCCCGTTTTAAACTCCTGAACTTACTATAATAATTAAGAGTTCCTTTTACTAACACATGCCATAACAAAAAGATATAATTCTCAAAAGTATTTCATGACAAAGGGAAAATTTCAGTTAATGCTATTAATCTATACTCATGGGTTGGGCAGCTTCTTGGTAGTCATTTCACTCAAAGGATATTATGGTGCCTTGTTATGCATGCAAATGATCGCAATTACAAGGAAATTATTAAGCTGATACTAACATTCAGTCAGATTTGATGAATTTTCAAAATTGGTAGGCTAAGACATTCATCTCATTAGTGGTATTAAGGTATTTTACTTTAAAAGCTAATGAAAAAGTGGAACTGTTAATAATTAAAGCAGTTTTGATATTATTGTTACAGTAGTTAAGGATGTTAGTTTAAGTGAAAATTGGATTTGAAACTGAAAATTTGAATTAAAAATGGTTGGTAAAAACAAAACAAAGGTTCTGTTTCAATTCAAGAGTGACTCAATTTAAACTTAAAAAAAAAATCAAAAAGGTTTATGGATCATAACTCTCTATGTAAGATTTTTCATATTAAATACAAAGTACTCAAATTTCCATTAAAATTAATTTTTACTATAGGAAGATCAATGAAAAAAATACCATGTTTTTTTATTCAGAGATACAAGGAGCAAGAAGGCAAGTCTGATACAAAGTACTGAAATTTCCATGAAAATTAATTTTTATTATAGGAAGATCAATGAAAAAAATACCATGTTTTTTTTTTATTGTTCAGAGATATAAGGAGCAGGAAGGCAAGTCTGATGGTACCGAGACAACCAGTAATGTTAACCAGAAGTTATATTACCACAGACTGGGGACATCACAGGAAGAGGATGTGCTCTGTGCCGAGTTTCCAGATCACCCAAAATGGATGATGTAAATATCAGTATTACTCAAAATAATAGTTAAGAAAAGAATTCAAACTTTAAAGTTTGAGAATTGTAACTGTAAATTTGCAGTCCTTTGCAATCGGCGGCTTTTGTACAGCCCTTTGAATACTTAACAGAGATGCAAGAAGATCAGATAAAATGAACAAAGAAAGTTAATATTGTTTTGTTTTTCTCAAAATGGTGCAAACATGGCAATTGCTCACATATTTCTGACAAAATTGGTGATGAAAGAAAGTTGCCCTCATTTTTTTCTGTATTTACAGAATACCACGGACACTTAGACTGGGTTCCCATGCCTAGATCGATCCATTTGGATCGGTCTAACTCCCTGGTGAGTCTCACTAAATTGTATCAACTGAACCTGCTTAAATGTCTGTCAATCAGCTAGGGGTAAAGATAATCACCTCCTAACAGCTTTACTAGGTGTGACAGACATTTAAGCCGCTCAAGGTGATAGCAATTTAGTGAGACTCCCCTCTGAGTTAGATCGATCCAAATATCTGTGGGAATGGTCCCTTACACTCTGAACGCTTTAATGACAATTATTAAATACACTTGAATTGACTGGACTACATTTCCCCAAATTTTGGGTCAATGCTGTATTATTTTGGATAAAATGAACAAGGAAATTGGATATTTTATGAAAAAGATTTTTCATGGTTTCTGGATAAGATGATGATGAGTTGTTCTTGACTTGAGTCGTGCATTCAGGATTGAAAGTTCCATAGATGGTGGATTGAAACAAAGTGCATTAATACTCTTATATTATCTCTAATTCAAGAAAAACTATTTTATCTAGCATAATATAATTTGCTTTTTGTACCCTGATATGGGACAGTAATATTTTAAATTTATGTAACATACATTGATGTGAAAGGTACTGACACCCATTGTTTACAGAGGTGCTGAGGTGACGGACTGTGGTCGTTATTTGGTGATGATGATCAGTGAAGGCTGCCACCCAGTCAACAGGCTGTACTATGTAGATCTACAGGCACTTCCAGATGGCATTAATGGTGAGTATATGGCTGTACTATGTAGTTCTACAGGCACTTCCAGATGGCATTAATGGTGAGTATATGGCTGTACTATGTAGATCTACAGGCACTTCCAGATGGCATTAATGGTGAGTATATGGCTGTACTATGNACTATGTAGATCTACAGGCACTTCCAGATGGCATTAATGGTGAGTATATGGCTGTACTATGGAGATCTGCAAGCATTTCCAGATGGCATTAATGGTGAGCATATGGCTGTACTATGTAGATCTACAGGCACTTCCAGATGGCATTGATGGTGAGTATATGGCTGTACTATGGAGATCTGCAAGCATTTCCAGATGGCATTAATGGTGAGCATATGGCTGTACTATGTAGATCTACAGGCACTTCCAGATGGCATTAATGGTGAGTATGTGGCTGTTATGTGTGAATCTTCAGGCACTTTTGTGTGGCATTTATAAAATGGTATAATGTTGTCTTTAAAGGAAAAATAAAGTGAATGCTTGGAATGCATGTACCTTTTTTTTTTTTTTGAAAGCATTCTATGTAAATTCAAATAAAATATTTTCTATTTCAGGTGTGCTTCCTTACGTAAAATTGGTGGATAACTTTGATGCTGAATATGAGGTTAGTTTAAGAGTTGTATAATAATATATATTTGGTAAAATTGTATACCTCTTTCAGACAGTTAACTATCTTACTTTTCAGTTCACTGGTCATTTGGGGACTAATAGGCCTCTGGAAAGTACTATTCCAAGTTAAATTTATTTAAACTAAATAAGTATGAAATATAAAGACAGTGGATGAGTGATTGAAAACAACCATTGCGATTTCCATTAGTCTGTTAACTTTAAGTAAGGCACAATTGTCTACAGAGACATGCTTTTGGAGGCAAGTGGCATGTACATTAGGCAGAGATTTCTAGATCTCTGTTTCATATTATTGAGTAACTCTGATTTGGTGGTGGAGACTGATGGATTTCAAAATTTAGAACTCTTAAACAAGTTGATAAATTGGAATACCTTGAAAAAATTTGTTGAAATTTTCAATTTTTTTTCTGTTGCTATGATAATAAAAAGATTTAACATATACATTCTATGGCTTTTATGTAACACACAGCTGTACTCCATGGATTTACAGGCACCTCAGGATGGCATCAATATTCTGATGAATAGCAACAATACTGTTTTTT